GCGTAGGATCTATTAATTTTAGGAAAAAGATGCAAAGAGGTACCATTAGTTTCAGAAAAGATGCAAGTTGATTTTAGAAAAAAGAATTATCAGTTTAAACAAAGAGAAAAGATGCAAACCGATTTTTAGAAAAGAGTTACCAGTTATTTCAGAAAAGATGTAGACTGATTAAAAGGTTTACGAGTTTCGGAGGAGTGCAGATTCGCTATAGGAAAAAGGTTTACCAATTTTAGCGGGTTTCAGAAGTAGAAAATTACCAGTTTTAATAAAGACACTAGTTCCAGCAATCGATAGTGTTTAAGAACGAATGATGCTATTAAAGACGAGGTTTCCTATAGACATGCTTTCTATATGTTTACTGATTTTAACACCCTTTCCTGATATCAATAAGAGTCTTATACACGTGATGTCTATATGCAACTTTGTTATTAATCCAATAAACGGTTTGCCTAATGAAATTTATATATGCAGAAATGCAAGAGCCTATAGACATGATCTCTATATGTGTCATTACAGAACATGAATGTTAAATCCTATAGACATGCTTTCAAGGTGATTTTTGCGGTAAGGTTAAGCGTTAAATCCTATGGGCATGGTCTCTATGTGATTGAATCAGTATTAAAGACCCTATAGGCAGGATTTCTAGTTTGAATAAAATCCTAATTCATGATTTCTACACCTTGGATACAAGAAAAGTAAAGACCCCTCCCACACCCTTTTACTATACTCCCCGAGTTTCATACAAAACTATTACAACCCAATGAATCAAACTGGAAATTAAAGGATACATCAAAAGCTAACAGCTAGATCCGAGTAGCCTAATTCAACCTTAATGTCTGATAACATGCGATTGAGCCACTTCCGGGATCCAGATTTCCAAAGCCTTCTCTTTATCCAAGGTGCTTCAAAGTTTCAAGGAATCTCAGGGATTCCAGGCATAGCTTACACCCAGGATACTACCAGAATTAGAATAGTGCAGTGTGGAAGAGCCGCCTCTCATGCATCCAAGTTCAGAGGGAGATCGGGGGTCCCAAAGCATGGCTTTCAAGAGAGGGGCAGAACTTATAGCTAAGAGTAAGTGCAAAGTGATAGGGAATTGGGGGGGGGGGGGCATGACAGG